TTTGGTGGGCTCCAGAGCCACTTGGGCCTGTCTTCCCCAATCCCTGTGCTCACCCTGGGGGCTTTCTGAGCACACCTCTGCAGCAGCTCCTCCTTGGTTAAGAAGTAGTAACCATTAGGATTCTGAAACCAAGGTAGAAGAGACAGGGTAGGCTCAGTGCCAGGGACCCTCCTCATCTCGCTCAGGTGGCTGGGATAATCTTTGCCTGCCTTGCCAGGGCTAGGCACCTCTGGGAACTTCCCACCCCACTGCCATGGTTCCACCCAGTGCTCACCAGGTGCTCTCGGTAGAGCATCAGCAGTATCACTCGGGCTCCTGAGTGCCGAGCTGGCCAGTAGTAGTTGCCAGAGCCTCCTCCTTTGGACTGGGCAGGAACCTGAAAGGTACAGAGGAACTATGAACGTGAAAGCCAGCCAGTCATTTTCGAATAAGTCCCCAGCAGGCTTTGTGGCCCTGGGTAAGTCACTCAGTTATCTCTCAGTTTCCTTATCTGTAAAACGGGCCAGGTGATGGGATGGCCCACTGCAAATGTGCGATGAGACAGCAGGCAGTTTCCGGGCAGCGGGTGGGGGTGTCTGCCCAGCCTGGCCTCAGTTCTACCACGCGCTGCAGAACACGTGTGATTAGACAGGAAAACTCAATAAAAAACTCAATAGTGACCCCGTAACTAACTGAGCTGGGCTCCCTAAGTAGCTTGATTATGGAATTCTCTCGTTGGCTGTTACCAATATTCCTATTCACAGATTAAATGTGAATTTAATTCAAAAAGTCAAAAAGAGGGTCAAAAAGAGGGTAAGTCATTTGCTCAAGGCCAGGAATCACTGGTGAGATTTGGACTCAGGCTTGCCAAATCTCCCAAGCCAGAAAATCATACTCCCGCACTCCCACTTTGCCTTCCGCTCCCCTTGCCCCTTCCTCACTGGCATGGAAGAGTCCTGGACTTCCGCAGGTCGCCCCTGAGGGGCTGGACTGTTCTCTCCAGATGGCGAGCCCGGGGCATGGTCACCTGCGGGAGCAGAAGAGAGTCAACTCCACACTCCACGGAATCCGGCAGCTGCGAAGGTCTGGGATGCAACCTGCTCAGATGATAAGTGAACCGGTGAGGGAGGCTCAGGGAGCGCCAGCCACTAGCCCGAGACCGAACGGCAACTTGGACAGGAGTGGGGAGCTTAAAGCTAAGGGCCTCCAGGTGAGTACGGAAGCTGCACCTGGGGGGAGGCAGGGGATCACTGACCCTTTTCCCAGACGCTCACCGCCCGATGTTCGGTGCCGCTGCAGCCGCTCGTCCAGCATCCGGCAGAGCCCGTCTCCGAAGTGCTGTAGGATCTTAGCTTCCTTCCCGCTGCGCAGCGGCAGTGGGTACCGTCGGAGGGACCGCAGCGCCTGGCCGGGCAGGGGTAGGGTTCCTGGTCAGGGCAGGCCCGACCTGGCCAGCAGCTTTTCCCATCGGGCCACGCCAGGACCCACCTTCTGAAACACGAAGCGTGTGCGGCGCCCGCTGCGGGTCGCCTCGTCCCGCCACTCGGTCAGCCAGCGAACGAAGAGCGGATTGGGACAGGCAGGCAGCGGGCGCTTCCGGCCCAGGCGGACCGGGGCAGCCATGAACCCGAGGGCGGGTCCTCCGGCGCCCCACGCCCGCGGGACTGGGACGCCGCCAGTTCTGGAGTAGGGATTCGAACACCTGGCCCGGGGCGGGGCGGGAGAAGAGGGAGGCCGAGGGCAGGACCGCTGAGATCACAGGGCCCCAAACACACGGGGCACTAACGAGAGGAGAGCCTGCCGCCCTCCCGCCCCTGCGCTGCTCTAAGTGGTTGGTGAGGGGCGCTGTCTCTTAAACGATCTTTCCCCTCGGCACCACTCCAGCTAGCCTTTGGGACGCGCCCAATCCCAGCCCCCGGAGCCTGGACCGACTCCTTCCTGTCACCCCAGATTCGAGAGCGGGGTCATCTTTGTGTAGGCGAGAGGAAGGCGGACAGCGCCCCCTGTGACGGGGAGGACTGGTTGGGCGGCGCTTAACGGACTAACCTGAACTTGGCCAATCTAAGTCTCTTAAGATTGCCAGTTTCAGCCTCAAGCTTGAAGGAGGCTGGAGATGGAGACTGGTCTTGAAAAGAGTCCAGGAGAGGCGAGGGCTGGGAGACAAACGGGTGCAAACGTATTGGTGGGAAGGACACCCAGAAATGGGTGCTGGGGATGAGGACACAAAGGTAAGGCAGGAGGAGCTGCAGGATCCTTGGAGGAAATGGTCATCCTCATCCCCGGGATACAGGGCAAAGAGTGTATGGTGGAAAGGAAGTCGGGGACGTGCAGAGAAGGCCTAAAATAGGACTCGGAAGGTCGGGGGTCAGAGGCCTAGAGGAAGGAGGACTGTAAGTAAGAGGTGCTTGGGCACCCTGGCAGTTGGGGAGGCCTGAGATGGGCACGTGGTTGGGTTCCGGGGCGGAGGAGCAGGCTGCGGGTTAAGAAGCCCAGACACAGGTAGAGGGGAGAACAGTTCGTCATTTTTGTGGCTAATCGGAAGTGGGAGACCCCCAGGGAGGTTGAAGATGGAAACCCTACAAAGGGTTTCAACCTGAGAAGCCTCAAGGACACGTATAACTGAGTTGGACACAGGCGACCCGCCAGGGTTCGAAGCAGCACCCGGCATCTAGCTGCTATACCGGAAGTCGTGAGACGCAGGTCTCCAGGCTGTGAGGAAGGGAGAGGTGGGCGCCGGAGCTCCAGGCCCGCCCCTCAGGACTGTGCCTAGCCCACGGCGCAGTAGCCCCACCCGGGCTAAATTGGACCAATGGGCTCCGGCTCCCGCCTCCTGCCCGCCGCGGCCTTATAAGGAGCCTGAAGCCGGCGGTCGGGCTGACCCCGCCCCCTCGAGTCTCATGTCCTAATAAGGACATCTAGGGCATCCCGCGGCTGGGGGCGGGCGGGAGCGCGTCTCCAGGGTAACTGCGAAGCCCCCTCCCTCTCCCCGTTGCTCTTGGAAACTCTAAGGCTTGGAAAAGGGGGCGCTAGCGTCTTCATGCAGGGCCGCTCGCGGGGGGCGGGGGTCAAGCTGCTGTCTCCACCTGGAGCGCCGGGAGCCCAGGCGGGGGCGGTGCAGTGGAATGTCCCCGACTACAACCCCCGGCATGCTCTGCAAGGTACTCCACTCCCTGGCATCGCTCTCCGTTTACACCCTTAATTCCGTTTATAGGATTAGAGTCCCCAGTTCCCTTTCTGGGTTTGCCTCTGGCTTGTTTGCGACCCAGTCTTCTCTTCCTGCAGAGTGTGAGGCTGTGATCACTGTTCTAGGACAACAAAATCATCCCGGAGTCCCCCGCTCGTTTTTTTTTTTTTTAAGGAATATACTACCATAGATCCTGTCTCAGTTTTTCAGGTGTTAGAATAACCACGTATCTGGCTATCAACTCGAGAGCTGGGTGCAAGTCTGGCTTAATATCTATTTTTTCTCAGTGGCACGTAAAAGGCACATAAAGAAGCTTTGAATTGAATGCACAAAGCCTCGTCTTTACCCTTTATCGCCTCATGAGTTTGCCAAACATCTTTAAACAAGAACAAAGCTCTCAAAGATTTGCTTGTACCTTTCCCCTGTGCCTTTTCCTCCTATTCTTATTTTACTGACGTTGCACATGGCCTTTTTTTTCAGGAGACGAGTGGCTTTGCACATGTGGAGTACTAGTGTTATCCGACCGATGACGCCTTCATACTTGTGATTTTCTTTGCTTTAGGTCGGGATTCCAGGCTAATCAATAGTTGCTTCGATTCAGAAAAGCAAAACCCTAACCTCACTCAAGAATTTCAGGCCAACGGATCCAGATAATACCAGATGGGTCTTAAGAAAGCCGTTTTGCTGCGGGATAAAGAGCCGCTTAGTCGGGGATCGTTTTCGGGTCATTTTACTGAGCGCCACCTCGCCGGGTTCAGAGCGGTTCCTGGGAAATTGGACCAATGGGCTCGCGCTGCGCGGTGCGGTGCCGCCCGGAACCCGGGCCTACATTTCCCCGCATGCACTGCAGCTCCGGGCTGGCCGGCGGGAAGACTCCGTTACCCAGCGAGCGAGCGAGGCGGCGGCGCAGGGCCCGCGGACTCCATTTCCCGTCGGCCCGCGGAGGGAGCGCCGGAAGCCCGCCCCGCCCCTCATTGTGCGGCTCCTACTAAACGGAAGGGGCCGGGAGAGGCCGCGTTCAGTCGGGTCCCGGCAGCGTCTGCAGCGCTCTTGTCTACTGCGGCTCTCGGTGCCCGCTCCTTTTCGTTTCCGGAAACATGGTGAGCGGCAAGCCACGACGCCCGAGGGAGGCGGCTGCGGGTCGGTCGCCTGCGCGCAGGAGGCGACGGGGGAGCGATGTCCGCAACCCCTCCCCCAGCGCCTCGGGCGGGATGAGGGTCTCGCACGGAGGGGCGGGCGGTGCCGGAATGCGCGTGCGCGCCCGTGGGCGCCGGGGAGGGCCGGTCTGGACGTCGCTCGCGCGCCCCCTGGGCTCCCCTCCCCCACCCGCTGGTGCGCCCGCGCGGAAACCGGCCGTGGGGGGAGGGGTCCGGGGCGCGCGCTGGCGCGCCCCTCGCGGAACGACCAGCGTCGTGCGTTTCTTAGGGGCGCGCTCTCGACTGCAGCACGCGGCGTCCAAACCCGGCCCGGGGGCGGCGAGGGAAAAGCGCGCGAGAGATCTCGGCGCGCGCGCCCCACCCAAGGCTGTTCCTGTCTGCGCGTCACCCTCCCTCGGCAGCCGGGTCCGTCTCGGGAGCAGGTGGCAGGGATGCCTGCGCCCGGGAGGGGCGGGCGCTGGCGCGGCGAGGGGGGATGCTGGGAAGACGGGGTCCCGGTTGGGGCGTGGGTGCCTGCGATTAGGGCCTTGCACCGCAAGGCTTAGAGGGGGCATCGCAGAGACCGCAGCGCCTTCGGGAGCACATCTAACGAGCTGCGTTCTCACCCGTGCATTGGGCGAGGGCTGGAACGGCGCTGTCTGCCGGCGCGTGCGCGCACGCTCAGGCCCGGCCGCGGGTGCCGAAGCCCTGGGCCAGCCAAGCCTTCCCGGATGGGCCTGAGGGTGGAGCCGAGTTTAGGGAAGTGACCCAGTCGGGCACCGCCCGGAAACCACCCCGCCCCCTGTATACGGCCCGAGGGCTGAGAAAACCGAAGGTTATGTAGCGTACCCAGGCTCCTGCCTGCAGCAGATAGGTCTGATACTTCCGTTGTTTTAAGGTGATTTCACAGGGTTAGGGACCTGGAGATGCTGCTGCTTTTCGGGTACGCCGTTCTCTATTGGGGAGGGGGCCGGACCTAGCCGATCTCCTTTCCCCGCCTACTCCGGAAGCTACCGAGTCACGTGGCCGGCTTCCTCTGCAGTTCCGGGGAGTTCGGGGGACCAGATTTACCGTGGATTGCCCCCCCCTCCTGGCTCGGGTACTGCCAAGCACGACGCAGAGTAGGAGTTTAAAGATCGCGAGGCTTCTGGGCACTTGAGTTTGGCATGTTTTTACCAGCGACTTCTGGGGCCTAGCACTATTCCCGGAAGAAGGGAGTTGTCGGGCAGGGTCCTTACTGGGGGTTGTGATTCTTGTTTTGGTTGGGAAAGACCCTGGGAGGGAACAGGGGTCGTTTGTGTAGTAACACTGCATCAAGCAGTTCTGGCGGGTTTGTTGTAACTGTTAGTGTCCTTGGGGTCCCATCTAGCATTGTGGGGTCTTGGCTCTTTCTGAAGAGGAGTCTTGGCTCAGGTGTTTGGGTCCTCCATATCTGAAGTTCTAAGTCACCAGTTTTATCCAAAGGCTGAGAGCAAATACGGTGAGTAGCAAGTGAGTCAGTAGCCGGTGGATCTTTTAATTCTGGGTTCACATTTTGGTCAAGGCTCTGCTTTTCACGAGTTTTCCATTTCTGTCCCGTAAAATGAGGGAAGGGGTTGTTGAACTAGGTGATCAGAGGCCATGGCTGCCATTCTGAGGTTGTGTCCCATCTGGTTCTTTGAGAGTGGCTTGGGTGGAAAAACTAGTGACTTGCCTTGGGAAGGGCACTAGTGACCACTCAAGACGCGGACTGGGATCTTCTGAGAAAACAAGGGGCAGTTCCCTAGGGTCTTTTTCTTGATGAGGTATACGTGGCGTGTCTCCCAGGCCTCCGGTGTGGCTGTCTCTGATGGTGTCATCAAGGTGTTCAACGACATGAAGGTGCGTAAGTCTTCAACGCCAGAGGAGGTGAAGAAGCGCAAGAAGGCGGTGCTCTTCTGCCTGAGTGAGGACAAGAAGAACATCATCCTGGAGGAGGGCAAGGAGATCTTGGTGGGCGATGTGGGCCAGACTGTCGACGACCCCTATGCCACCTTTGTCAAGATGCTGCCAGACAAGGACTGCCGCTACGCCCTCTATGATGCAACCTATGAGACCAAGGAGAGCAAGAAGGAGGACCTGGTGTTTATCTTCTGGTGAGCTCATTCTGGCACTACTTCTTGTCACCTACCCTCTTTCCCATGATGGGAACTTCTGTGGATCCTGGTCAACCCAGAGGTGTGGGTTTGGATTGGGAGGGGGTTGTAACAAAAGACTCCTCACTGCCAGCCCAAGGGTTTCTCAAAGTCACCTATGGCTTTGCTGTTGCTGCGAGTTGCCTGACTCATGTTTCTGTTCAGGGCCCCTGAGTGTGCGCCCCTTAAGAGCAAAATGATCTATGCCAGTTCCAAGGATGCCATCAAGAAGAAGCTGACAGGTAAGGGCCAGCATTGGTGCTGAGTGCCTTTCTGCTGTGACCTTGGCTGCAGGGTAGGGTGAACAGCACCCAGAGAGGGTCCGCCCCCTTCACTGCCTGCTTGTTCCTTCCATCTGCTTTGATTGGCTCCTTCCCAGCCACAGAAACTACCCCCACCCCAGTGCTTACTGCTCACAGATGCTCCCCTTTCTTCCTTACAGGGATCAAGCATGAATTGCAAGCAAACTGCTACGAGGAAGTCAAGGACCGCTGCACCCTGGCAGAGAAGTTGGGGGGCAGTGCTGTCATCTCCCTGGAGGGCAAGCCTTTGTGAGCCCCTTCTGGCCCCCTGCCTGGAGCATCTGGCAGCCCCACACCTGCCCTCGGGGGTTGCAGGCTGCCCCCTTCCTGCCAGACCGGAGGGGCTGGGGGGATCCCAGCAGGGGGAGGGCAATCCCTTCACCCCAGTTGCCAAACAGACCCCCCCCACCCCCTGGATTTTCCTTTTCCCTCCATCCCTGACGGTTCTGGCTTTCCCAAACTGCTTTTGATCTTCTGATTCCTCTTGGGTTGAAGCAGACCAAGTTCCCCCCAGGTACCCCAGTTGTGGGGGAGCCTGTATTTTTTTTTAACAACATCCCCATTCCCCACCTGGTCCTCCCCCTTCCCATGCTGCCAACTTCTAACCGCAATAGTGACTCTGTGCTTGTCTGTTTAGTTCTGTGTATAAATGGAATGTTGTGGAGATGACCCCTCCCTGTGCCGGCTGGTTCCTCTCCCTTTTCCCCTGGTCACTGCTACTCATGGAAGCAGGACCAGTAAGGGACCTTCGATTAAAAAAGACAATAATAAAAAGGCTCATTAATGGGATGTGTATTTCAAGGTTGGGGCCCAGGAGACTTTGGCGGGGGGGGGGTGCACTGGGAGAATGGTGCTATCTCTCTTCTCTGTACCCCATATCCAACCAGTCCCTGCACACCCTTATCTGGCTCCAGTGATTGGCTGAGACACCTTTTTGATGGTCACCATTATTCTGTTGGTGGGGCTGTGATCGACACTGGACTGGCTGTTGAAGGAGTGGTGCTGGCCACAGGGGTGTTCCAGCGGAAGTGGTTTATGCCTGAACTGGGTGCTCTGTAGCCTTGCCTGGATGGGCAGTGAGGTCCATCTGATAGTCTTTTCTGTCCCTTCCTAGGTGTAGGCTGATAGGCAAGTCACAGGTAGCTTAAAGGGTCGGTTTGGTTTGCTGTCTTCCCTGCATGGCTGACTCAGGTTTATGAGGGTCAGGTTCAGTGGTTGCTGTGAGTCAGCCCAAGTTGAGCCTTTGACCTCCTCTAGATGTGGCTGGAGTCCTTTCAGGGTGGGGCCAGCCAGGTGGAGCCCAGGACTTCAGACCCAGGTGTCTTGAGCACCGCCTCCCTATGTTTAACCAAAAGGGTGTTGCCGGTACCCTGAGCCTTTTGCCAGCATTGCTATGGGTTGTTTCCAGCCTGTACTTTGGGCTTTCACCTGCCCAGCAGGCAAAGACATCCAAGAAATCTGGCCCTAGGGTGAGGTGAATTGGGAGTGGTAATGGGGCATCTATATCTCCTCCCTAATTAACTGAGCCGAGAAGGGAAGAGGCCGCCTGGTGTTACAGTTGGCTCCTTACCTCTCAGGAGCTTGTGAGTGGTTCTGGGAGGAAGGGCTAGATCCCTTTTGTGGTTAGGAAATAACGTGTGGAGAACTTGCAATTCATTCTTGTGCTAGGGTTTATGGGGGTGGGGGCAAACCTGGAAGACACTTCTGGGGTTCCTGCATCCCAACTTCTGGGTGTCGCGCCTTCCCACAGGAGCTTGCTGTCACTGGAGAGAGGGCTGAGGATACTGCGGGGTGCCCTCCTTGGTGTCCCCAGGATCTGATCATACTGCCTTGGCAGAAGGTGTACCTGGTGGACCCTTGAGCTGTGGGAAGGGAAGCAAGGACAATAGGCCTCCTTGCTACAAAACCAGGGTTTTTATTTGTGAAGGAGAACAGGCTGGCATCAAGAGAGCTATGATTCCTTCAAGGCCCTGGGTGAGAGAGGAGGCTGTTCCTCAGCTTCCTGGGGAGGGGTGTCGGGGTCCCTGGGGCTCTGCTGACCTGTGGCCAATCATGATGCCTATGCTGCCCTGTGTCTTGCAGGGCCTGGCACCTTTGGTGGTGGTAGTGGTAGGGGGTTTGGGCTTTCCCTGGGAGGATGTGGGGCAGAGTGAGGGTGTGGCTAGTGGCACTGTGCTAGAGAAGGAGACATCTTGCCAGAGAGGGGGGTCTGGGATACCCTGGTCACTGGAGATCCCAGAGCAGGGTCTGGCTGAGCTCTGGCTGCTCTAAGGCTCCCCCTTTAGGGCGACAAGGGTGTTCCGGAGAATCAGGGTGCTGGCCTGCAGAGGAGAAACAGGTCCTTGAAGTACTCTGCTCCTTGAGTCAGGCTGCCATTCTTTCTGCACTGTAGATACCCCCTTGCTCCCCACACCCCTGCTCTGTGCAATAACAGTTGCTGTTAATTGGGTCTTCCTACCGAGAAGGCATGGGTCGTGAGCCAGGGAAGCATGACCCCAAGCCTTAGCTGAGGCTGCTCTCATCCACACACGCACGCATGTACATGCAGACACCCACATATGCACATACACGTGTGCACATCCACACGTGCACGCACACCCTGGTGCCTGGGGGAGGGAGGGAGGTGGGAGGGCTCACCTTGGCGTGTTTGAGCTCCAGCTCTGCCAGCTCAATGAGATTCTTTCGAAAAGAGGAGACCCGGCGGGACTTGAAGTCCATGAGCTCTGGAGAGGAGGGGAAGAGGCATGGGAACCTGGGCAGGGCATGTGGCCCCAGGCTGGGGCCGGGGGGCTGCGGGCTCACCTTGCTTGGCGGAGTCGGAGAGGCGCTCGAAGCGTTGGCAGCACAGCTGCTGGTGGCTCTCGGCGGGGCGGACCTCCCGGTTCCTGGTGCGCGCCTTGTCCAGCGCCTTGTTGGCATTCTCGTAGTCGGCCAGTGCCCGCAGCCGCCGGTACAGCAGGTCCTAGGACCACGGGCACAGGGTCACTGCTTCCCTGTCCTGGCTTCCAGGCCTGAGCGTTGCTCTGGGGCTGCCTCTCACCTTTGCTGCCTGTGAGTCGCGCATGTAATACCTCAGCATGTCTGACAGCTTCAGGTCCTCGTCGGAAGCCACTCGGCCCTCCAGCTTCTGCATCAGAAAGGTGGGCACTGGGAAGGGAGCTTGTCAGAGGGGCAGCTAAGGGGTGGGAGGCACCGTTTCATGTAAATATCCAACAAAGAGGCCTTAGGTAACTGTTCCAGGTCAGGCCTGGTGTTGAGGGGCGCAGGCCAGGGAAGGCTTCACAGAGGAAGTGGGATCTAATCTGGATCTCAGGGACTAAGTAAGAGCCAGACAGGGAGCCGAGGGCTTGGCAGCTGTGCAAACGCGGCTATGTGTTCAGGGAACCTTTAGTTCAGGGAGGGCACCTGGGCAAAGCAGGGAAGGGAGGCAGTGGCTGGAGCACAAGAGGCTGAAAGTGGAAGCTCAGGACTTTGGGAGCTTCCAGAAGGGGCAGGGTCTCTGAAGGGCCTTGAGCAGGGAAGAGATGCAGTCCAATAGACGTTTTAGGAAGACAGCAACACTCCAGTGACTTCTTGGGGAAGAGTGGGGGATGTGTGTACCCAGGCAGTGTGCTGGCAGCTGGGTGCAGCCTGCCAGAGATTTGGGCACATCCTTGTGCCTCCCAACTCTCCCCTGCTGCACACACGCATGTACACGCGTGCGCACCCCCCCACACACACACACGAAGCTGGATCCTTGTCTTCAGCCCAGCTCTCGTTAAACTAGTCTGGAGTGTGAGCCCAACTTGCCACTGGGCCCAAGTTATCACTGAACCCAGGATGATCCTGGAGCTCTTCCCTCTGCTAGGACTCATCTTCCCTGCAAAGATCACCAGGAAAGCTTTTGAGCACAGAAGGCAGTACTCACCCTCAGCCTTTCAAAGAGCTCTGCCAATTTGAGGAAGCTCCTAGGAAGTAGTAGGGAGGAGTTAGGGTAGGGGGCTGAGGAACAGCCCAAAGCCTATCTGTCTCAGCCCCTCCTTGAGAGTCTCCCTCTCGCCTTTCCCTCCCAACACCCTCCCCCAACAGGAGAGCCTACACCTCCCACCTAGAGCTGACAGTAGACATCTACAGAGTGACCCCTCATGGGAAGACATGGTATTACAGGCATAGGGAGAGGGTAGGGGTGGAGGGAGTCCTCACGTCCTTAGCTGGTTGACTTCCTGTGTTCCCAGACTGCTCAGCGCAGCTGAGATAGGGATATAATCATCTGCCAGGCCTGTTGGGGGAACAGCCCCCATCAGAGCCCCTACATCTGCACGTCAAGCCCTGGTGCCTGTGGCCACAGACAAACAAGGCATGCCCTGCTCTCTTCTCTCCCCCAAGGAGTTGAACCACTGGGGAGAGGGGCTGTGGGATCCAGGACCCCTTGGACCTTGCGTACACTTGTGGGCACGCATGACGCGGTCGGCCCGCAGGCAGGCATCTCGGATACGGGTGTGATACTCCAACAGGAAGGTCCTCTCATGCTCAAAGAAGTCATCCACCTCCTAAGGGAGCCAGGCAGGACCCCATTTACACTGGGTCACCAAGGAGCTTGGCAGCACAGGCACGCAGGGTTGGCAAAATCTCCTTCCAATCCAGGCCAGGCCCCACCAGTGGCTTCCTTCCCACACCCAGCCTGAGCCTCAATCCGTACTGTGGACTTGAGGTGCTGGATTGAATCTGGAGAGGAGCTCCAGGGGTTACCTTGAGCCCTGACATGCCCGTGATGAGGGCTTCATCCGCAGACTTCACGATATTCCTCAGAAACCCTCCGAGGAGCTCCTTCCTGTTCTTCCCCCGGACACTCAGCTGAGGCACACAGGGAGGGTATGATGCTGGGGTGGGCGTTCTCACCTCCCATGCCGAGTCACAAGCCACTCACGGAGCTGTGACACAGGCTTGGGCCCACTGGGGCCCCTTCTCCAGCCCTGCCACCCCTGGGTGCCTCCCCACCCAAGCTAGACTCCGGCCCCAGGGCCAGGGATTCGGCCCAGCTCACATCCTGTCCATATTCCAAAAACACAAAGAAGTTGTGGTCTCGACGCAGGGTGGGGTGGGCCGCCAGGCGCTGTAGAAAGACTTCGTGCATCGCAACTGTCTTCTTAAAGATGGCCAGGTACTCCCTGCGAGAGTGGCAGCGGCTCACGGGCCCTCCTCAGCCCCCATCATCCTGCCTGCCCCCTTTCTGGGGTCAGAGGTCAGGGTCTCTAGACATTCATGGGGGGATAGCTGGCGAAGATAGCTGGGGAGGGCTGGGAAAGGAGAGGGCACTCACGCTTCCAGCTCCTGCTTCATCTTGGCAAACTCTTCCCGAGTGACAGAGCTGTCCCCCTCGCCCAATTTCTGTAGCTTTTCCCTTGAAGCCTCAAAGTCTGGCCTCGGAGGGGCTGGGGGGATCTGCTCAAAGGAGGGACGGAGCTAGGAGACCTCTCACTGCCGAGACGGCCGCCATAGCCTTTGGTCCTCACCCAAGTGCTCTGCCTGTCCCTCCCAGCCCCTGCCCGGCCCCTCCTCACGATGAGGCCGGCGTACTCCTCGTTCTCCACATAGGCGTCATGCAGCCAGATGAACTCCTCGTGCTGCCGCACGACTGAGAACTCGGTCTGGGCGAAGTGAGGGAGGCAGCTCTGGAAGCAGGAAGGCCGTCTGAGGTACCCTCTCTGCCCCAAGCCCTGCCTCAGCAAGTCTCCTGGGCACCCACTTTTGGGCCCCCCTCATCCCACATCCCAGGGAGGACCAAGTTAGAGCTCAGGTGTGCGTGATTT